GGGAGTGTGGCTCGAGGTGGGTATGTGGGGGCGAAGGGGGGGGAGCGTGGGTATGTGGGGGAGGTGGGGGGATGTGGAGTGATGCATCTCTCCCTCACCTCCCCACCTCCCCACACCTCCCCCACCGTCCTGCCCCCATCTCTCCCTCACCTCCCCCACCTCCCCACACCTCCCCACCGTCCTGCCCCCATCTCTCCCTCACCTCCCCCACCGTCCTGCCCCCATCTCTCCCTATCTCCCTCACCTCCCCCACCTAGTTCCACAAACGAACAGCTTTACGGGCGTTTTCGTGAATTTCAGTGCGCGTGGGGCAATGACCGATTACGTAGACGGGCGCCGTCGCATTGGCCCATAGTGCGTCTCCGCGTTCTGCCCCAGCGAAATTTCCCATCTACGCGAGTTGTAGGCGCGTACCAGTAGTACGCGTATATTGCGTCACACGGAAAGATGATACCGCGAACGTAGGTGTGCTCAGTATCGCTTGGCGAGAAACATCAGACAACGAGGCGTGATCGCGCAGCGGGGAATAGATACAATTCGAAGCCGGTACACGGGGAAAAATAGCTGCGAACAAATAAAATAAACGACAGTTTGATGTGACAATAGCGACGACTAGCCGTTATCGGTGGCGCGTGGATGGCTAAGATAGAGTGAAAGCTGCTGCGTTGCGCGGTGAATGAGCGGTGTCGTGTTGATTGCTTACATCTCGATGCAAGCTCACAGTAACTCATAATTAAGCGTGAAATTTGCGTATTCAAGCCAACGCATCGCCGGCATACTGCTCGCGCGTACGCATGCACGCATGCACGCATGCACGCACGCACGCACGCACGCACGCTCGCTCGCTCGCTTGCACGCACGCATGCCCGTGTGCGCGCGCTAGCAGGCACACGCACGCCCGTCCGTCCGCGTGCACGCACGCGCGCATTTACGCACACACGCCCCCACGCACGCACGCACACACGCACGCGTGCAGTATGAAACCTGTACACGCTAGGTGTGCAATTGTGTTTTATGAATGCTATTTATGTCGTTTTTTTGTTGCGGAGAGAAAGTCATTCGAAGCTACTTTATACCAGAGCAGCGCAAGCGAAAGGAATCGCACTGTCGGTCAGCAATTGTCCGGACAATGACTGTTCTTGTGTTGCTAAAATTCCTAAAACAGCGCCGACGACTGAGGGACCATTGATATAGCATAATGACGGGCCACGTCTATTTGCCCGCTGCGCGCGCGAGAGTGAACGACGTCTTTTGAGAGGAAAAATTTCGCACGGAATCGGTGTCACGAAGAAGAAGGCTATAGATGGCCAGCCCTTCTAGCACAGAAACCTCGAAATTACCTAGCCGTAAAGCTAGGGTGTGCCGCACTGCTCCGTGTTGTGTTTCTGCAGGGAGAAGTGAGACTGTAGCTGGTATTTCCTCGCGCTCCTGCCCGGCCCCGTGGGGATCAAAGATGGCCGGTCACGAAAGGCTTTACGCTGCGCTGGAGCTGCCGGTGATATATAGGAGTACGTTTTGTGTATTGTCAGCGCACTCGCCATTGTACTACAGACTGCCAAGCTGTATTGAATGAGGCTAGAGTGGGCCGTGGGTGATTATCACACGGTACGGATATGTAATTAATATATATATATATATATATATATATATTTGTGTGTGTGTGTGTGTGTGTGTGTGTGTGTGTGTGTGTGTGTGTGTGTGTGTGTGTGTGTGTCTTATTATAGGCAATGACCCAAACTTTATAAGGCGTAATGCTAGAATAAAATGGATAATAAAAACACAATAAGAAGAAAAAGATTTGGCCAAGCTAGAAATAACAATGCCAACCTAGATCCCATTTATAGTCACTGTAATAGGATTAAGACCGATATCTTAATAAGCACATATCAATATAATCAATCGTATAGAGTAAGCATTATATAGGACCTATATGTTGTGAGATACTGTGTGAAGATGCGTGTACGTGATTTTGGCCTACATTTTACACGAATACTTCGAACTGTACTTGCTAATGAGACACGCATACCCCGTGTCATCCTAGCTCTACTAGGTGTTCACTTACGGCTCTGACCCCCTGTCGGCTTTATTCTTGGGCATATAATTAATTAGCCCGTCTCATTAGCATTATGTCGGTGGATAAGGACATCCGGCGAACGACGTTAGTGTGGAGAAAAGATGGACGACACCGCGTGACGTAACCCTCCCCCCCCCACACACACACCTCCACGTCAACCCCGACGACGTGCGTGTGTCGCGGAGGTTGACAAGAACTCGTTTATGTGACAAGGCACAGTGACCCGGTGAGAACAGATTGACACCGGCACACAATCGGAGCAGGTAAGGTACGGATTACGCGGCGGGTGGCAGCCGCTACAGATAGCGATCCGTTACTAAAAGACCCCTACATGCCATAAACCACCGCGCAGCCTGCTCTGTACGATTGACATACTACGAATATATACTATGCATTATGTGTATATGTATGTATGCATATACAATGTACGCGTCATATACCATAATTATACTATATATATATATATATATATATATATATATGATATATAAGCTTCTACGGTGAACACTTGTGTTCTCATATGTGCGTATTCTCGTGCTTCTACGTACACTGGTATATATACATAAATATAACGTTACTTTAATGATTAAATTTTAGGTATTTGTATTCGACACACATATTATTTTTATATTTTTATATTTCTCTGCCTTTACGTTTCCCCTTATCAAGCCGGAGTCAATACTTCTATATGTAAAACACGCGTGTTTTTACAATTTATTCATTCGTAAATTTACTCCTGTCATCTTCTATTTGTATCGTTGCGCGCGTGTACTAAATTTGTATTCTGCTGATCAACGGTAATTACTACATGAAGGGGAACCGATACTTCTATACTCTCTGTAAAACACGCGTTTGGATTTACAATTTATTGTTCTGTAACGACACACCCGCCTATATCTTTTCCTTCATCTTATATTGGTATCATTCGTTTACTAGAATCCGTGTTTACTAGATTTGTATTCCGGTGTTGTGTACGAGCAATTGAATGCGAATAGAGAGAGAGAGAGAGAGCGCGCGCGAGAGCGAGAGAGAGAAAGATAGAGAGAGAGAGAGAGAGAGAGAGAGAGAGAGAGAGAGAGAGAGAGAGAGAGAGAGAGAGAGAGAGAGAGAGAGAGAGAGAGAGAGAGAGAGAGAGAGAGAGAGAGAGAGAGAGAGAGAGAGAGAGAGAGAGAGAGAGAGAGAGAGAGAGAGAGAGAGAGAGAGAGAGAGAGAGAGAGAGAGAGAGAGAGAGAGAGAGAGAGAGAGAGAGAGAGAGAGAGAGAGAGAGAGAGAGAGAGAGAGAGAGAAAGAGAGAGAGAGAGAGAGAGAGAGAGAGAGAGAGAGAGAGAGAGAGAGAGAGAGAGAGA